AACCCAAACCCAAACCCAAACCCAAACCCAAAACCCAAACCCTAGAAGAGTCTTATTTCAACTTAATTCATAAAATCAATTATAAGAAATATACAAAATATTATTAAATTTTTTGAAAAATTGTCTCATCAAAAAGTTTGTTTATGCTATACAAAAAGACAAGTGATTCAATTACCATTTGAACTTAAATATTAAAAATAAAAGAAATTAATTCTTTATGATTTCTAAACCTCAAAACTAACTTTTTAAATATTAATATTTATTACTTATATATTAATATGAATATTAAATAACTTTAAATTAAATATAAGTATTATTATACTTTACAGTTACATAATTATTTATGTAGTATTAAGGATAAAATAATAAGAGATAATTGAAGTTGAAGGTAAATAAAGATATTGGAATGGGTAGTTTTTCTTACAAAACACTACTTACTATTATCTTTTAATTTTAGGATTTGAAATCTATATCAAAGATGTATAAGTAGTAAAAAAGTATAATATAAAATATTTTTAGGGATGCTAATCCAGAATAGAAAACTTAGATTAACTTAAATCTTTCGTAAGTGAAATATTTAAATTGGGATGGAAAAAATTGAAGTAATAATTAAAAGTTGGGTAATGGGGAGCTTTTTGGAAAGATAATTTATTAAATGTAAGAATGGATTAACGCAAGGAAATTGGACTGGAAGTAAGTTAATATATAGAAAAATGAATGTTAAACAGCTTAATATGGATCTTACAAAGATATAAAAAAAATTGGTAAATAGAATATATTATATGAAAAGGAAATTTAGTATGAAATATATGAATACTTTAGTGGGGGAGATTAATATGATGAAAAAAGTAATTTAAAGATTAGAAAATGGATTGAATTTTACGAGAATTTTTGAAGTAATTCTATGAATTCATATAATAATAGTTAATGTCAGGTTACTAAAATGGGATTTTTTATTTAAAAATAACATTCTGTAAATTTTTAAATTATATCTTAGGGGTTGGGAGATTATTAAGCTGATTTTAATTTACTGATATCTTAAGTCTATATGAGATCATTTATTTAGGAGAATATTTAGATGGAAGAAAAGCAGGCAGATGGAACATTAAATTAGAGTTGATAGTTATTTAGATTTTGAAACAATGTATATTTCTAATTGATTTTTAGTTGGGGAGGATTATATTGTGATTTAAATGGTGAGAAAAATGATGAATTGATTGATTTATGGGAGAATTATGACAGAGAGTATCAATTATCATTTATATATATTAAAGTTGGCTTTAAATTAAGTACAAAGATATTTATAACAATGGAATTAAAAACGGAAAATGGGATATTCATTTTAGAGTAGCTATCGATGAAAAATTCATTTTGATGTAAATTATACATTACTATATAAAGTGGAGGAGGCCATTATAATGGAAAAAACGGGTTTAAGCATGGAGAATGGTTAGACTTGCAGAAGGGACAATATTAGAATGGGGAATGTTAAGGAAATTTCTCAAAATTAAAATTAGAATGAAAGTAAAATCCTTTATTATTAAATAATATATAATTATTAAATGGTTTTAAGATTATTAATTATTATTTTGATCAAAAATATTCTTTTCATGAGTATTAAATTATAACCATTTATATATTTAAATAATACTAATTCTAAATATCATAACATTTTTCATCATAATTTTGATATAAACTATTAATTGTATTTAATTCCTTAATGATATGTTATGAAATATATCTTCATATTTCAACTTACAATTAATAAATATTAATACTCAAGAAAATTATCATCTGTTTCAATCCATTAATTATTCTTCAATCCTATTTGATTGTAATATCCTCCATCACTAGATTACCTTTAAAATAACTTACAATGCATGTCCTTAATACAATATAAACCACCTTCCTTTTTTTTTACTATTCTAAAATTCACCAGTATATGTTAACTGGCAAAATTTAATTAATTCAAATTAGAAACTTTGAAAGTTATCTAGAATTTCTATTCTTTTTCCATTCTTTATACCTTATTCATTATATGAACCTCCTCCTCTAAAAATAAGTAATATTAATACTTATATGAGAATCTTCTTTATATAATATATACCAATTTCCTTTCTGTTTACCATTAAAATATTCACTACTATGAGTAATTTATCTAAATCTATAATTATTTTTTATTAAGAATACAATTCATATTCATCATCCAAGTCTATCCATTTTCCATTTTTTTATCCCTATACATTATATAAACCACCTCCTCTTTCTAATAATTTAATATATGCTTACAATGTTTAACTTTTCTTATATGATTTCCACTTTCCAATTTATTGACCTTAATTATAAATTCCCTCACATAATATTTTCTTTAAACTATATTAGTTAATAAATAAGCCTAAACTTTCTTTATATTTAGCCATTATATATGATTGTCTAAATTCCATTTTTATAATATCCAATTTACACTTAGACAGTCCCAAAAAATTAACTGTACTAATATAGATCATAATATGTTTATTTTACTTACAATTCAAAAATCCTTTTTTCCTCAATAAAATTTTATGAATTTTTGTTATGTTATTTAAGTTATTTGAAAGGTAACTACAAAATGATTTTTGAATATCATTTCAAAATAAATATCTGGATATAGATTTATAATTTATTTAGAGTGAAATAAAAAATACACATATGGATTATATATTCCTATATAATTGATGAATACTTAAGCTGCAAACATCAATAAGTTTATAAGTTTGAATCGAAATAATTTAAAAGTTACTCTTAATTAAGATTTAGCCTTTTTTTATAAGTATTTCAATATGCAATCTATTTAAAACATAACAATAATAAATACAATAGCATCCAAAAATTAAATTGATATCTAAACAGAATTCAATAAGAAATATATGATAATAAAATCTTGATGTAAGTCAAAAATTACAATATTTTTTACCATAATATCCAGAAAACTATTGGCCCTATCTTTGGATTAATTTAATGAAGTTTATGAAGTTCTAGATTTCTCTAATTGCTGATCTATATCAGTATACTTTTAAATAGTAAATCCTTATTATTATAATTAAGATATATTATGATATCAAATAAATAAATATTATTATTAAGATTAATATTAGGTTTGAGACTTTCTAAAATTATGGAAGCAGAGAATAAAAATTTCTTAATTATATATATGAAAATGGCTTCTCTGATATAATTTTTTTTATTTCTGTTTATTTTAATAAGAATTTTTACAATTCTAGATAGAAATAAAATGATTTCAATATACAATAGAATAAATTGATATGCAGCATCTCTCTGTTTATAAGTTGAGCAGTAATATTCTTACTTGTTAATATTCTCAGTCTCCTATTTCATATTTTTAATAACTAAACATGATCTATCCTACCTATTGTAAAATACTTTTTTCCAAATTATCTAATTTAAGCCATTTGGTTTACTTTTTCATTATTTTAAGTTAAAGTTGAGAGATTCAATATATTATCTTGATGTATCCAATTTTTAATGAAAATTGGTGTAAAATTTCTAACGAAAATAATAAACTATAATTCTGATTATTGTATCAGGATTAAATCATAATCATTTTTATGAAAGTCTTTTCAACCATTTTAAGCGGCATCCATTTACACTATGTGATATTATAATAATTAAGAAATACTTATAATTATATATATAAATAAAATGGGAACCTCTTAGTCAAATTAGAGATGACATATAAATTAGATTCTTATTAAAGGTATCGTGACTATTAATCGATTATTTTCAGATAATAACAATAGCCTTTGGAAAGGATTATATAATGATAATGGTCAGAAAGTAGGAAATTGGGTAGAACCTTAAAAAGGATATCGGAAGTAATAAAATTAATATGGTTTAAATCAGTTTATGCCAAATTTACTTTATTATAATATAATCAAGGATTCAGATAAGGAAAGTGGATCCATCAAGAAGATGACAAAATTATGTAAATATAAAGTAATTTTTAGAAGAGGAGGATTGTATAACAAAGAAGGATAGAAGGAAGGATTATGGATTGAATTACATGAAAATTATGATAGGTTGTTTATTGTGATTATTCAGAAATTTAAAGGAGTATATTAAAATAATCACAAAATTGGAATTTAGGTTTATTAATTTTATGAATCTAATCAAAATAATTCTACTAAAATGTATCTATAACTTAATAGATTTTAATAGAATTGGTGTCTAATATAATAAAGATAGAATAGAACATGATAAATGGTTTGATTTAATAGAAGATTTTGTTGAGTTTAATTATTCTCATATTTAGTGATTAATAATTTTTACATGCAATGTAGATAAATATTAGATAAAAATATTAAATTATGTTTTAAATATGTTTATTTCTAAAGGTTGTAGAGTTTATGATGAAAATGAATTAGAATATGGATTTTTGGGCTTAATTAAAAGAAATCAAATTAAGTATTGTAAATTATAATATTATTTTCTTTAAAATTACATATTTAATGATTAATTTTTGCAAATAAAAATATTAAAGTAAACAGCTAATATATTGATCTATCAGGTTTATAAATAATAAATGATTTGGATGTTCAAAGAAGTTTTAATTATCAAATCGAAATATAAATAAAAACTTTACAGAATCAGTCTAGTTTGAGATTTAAATTAAAAAATCATATATATAGGAAATTAATTCATAAATATATTTTTTGAAATTTATATACTGACTCAAAAGAACAATACCAATTTTTTAATCACTTTTTTGTTACTATTATCATGCTATGAGTCTTGGGCAATATGTACATGGAATTAAGATAGGCATTTGGAATATATCCTTTGGAAATTAAGTTGTGTATAAATTAATTTACATTAAGTGACAAAGGTGCTTATGATAAAGAGGTGAAAAAGTATGCGAATTGGATTCAATCATCCAATTATTCTTAATTTGATAAATGAATTTGAATGAAAATGCTATATTAGATAAATTAGGTACTTTGTTGGAGAATATACTAATGGAAAAAAGTCAGGATACTGGTAAATAAAATAAGGAAATATAATAATGTAAATTTTAAAATAAATTTGTAAGTGAAGGTGATTTATACGATGGTATAAGTTATAAAAATGGAAAATGGAATGAATTAAGCAACTTTAAATTTTATTCTAATATAAAATTAAATAAGGCATTTTTGTAAAATATTTTATTTAATAGTATATATTAGAGCTGGCAGTAATTACTAAAATGGATAAAAACATTGAAAATGGATTACTTAGATGAAAATTATAATTATCATAATCAAATATTATCAGGCTTGGTGCACCATGGATCGAATCAATCATGACCCAGGAAGCCATCACACTAGTCCCAAGTTATTATTTTGTCATAATTTAAAAACATTTAATTTAATTTAATGTTATATGAAATATATAAATTTAAATAACAAAAAAATTTTAAATCACTTAAGCATTCATTTTATCAACCGATGTTTAATTGAAAATTTTGAAAAAACAGTATTAAGAATGTATTGTTGTAAACTAAGTGCTTATATGTAGATTTTGTTTTGTATTTTTCTAATTTTCTAATTTATATTAGTGCATAAAAAAATAAAAAATTTCTAATTCATGCTCTTAATAAACTATACGCAATTTGATTGTTAACTTGTAGTCTGTAAATATAATCTTATTATATACGACCTTTAAATTCATTAAAATAAATGATGACTACATAATTAATTGCCATATTAAGATTTATGAGGTACAATTATCTTATTTATTCAGAATGAAAAGAAGATAAAACCAAAATACAAAATTAATTATGTTTATGAGGAATTTATACAGATTATGATCTAACTTGTTGAAAATGACATTAATCTAATTCCAATTTTTTATTTTATTAAATTTTTGGAAATGAAAATTTATTGACTTTAA